TGGACATACCGCCCTTCAGGGACTTGAAATCGATTTCAAGTGAAGCCCTTGGCTGACTACAGCACCCCCTCCGAGCATGACTTGAAATCGATTTTAAGTCGAATCTGATATCAAAATCCAGACTCATCCACAAACATGCCATGCTCCAGGACGATCTTGAAGAGAAAGGAGGCGACTCCTTTGTGCCAGGAGTTGCCAAGAAGTCGGTGGCGATCTCGGTCGGTGCACAGGTCGTGCTTGGAGAAATCAACCGGCAAGTGGTGCGCCTGCTCCTTCAAAAACGGCGGCAACACTTCCAATCGCCCTTCCGGTGAGGAGACCATCGCTGCCTCCTGGTAGTGCCACGGCGCAAAAGTGTTGGAGTCATTCAGCCAGCGTTGGCGAGTCGCGGAGTCGATCTGGGTCTTCATCTTCTTCGGCGCGCTCCGACCGGACTCGGTCGGAGCAGGAGTGGTAAAACAGGGCAGGCTCTGCAACCCTGCTTGGACCTCTTTCCCGAAGGAGAAACCCCGCATGTCCAGGTGGGTCAGGTCGCCCCTGTCGGTCTGGACATGGAGACGGTGAATCCGGCCGCTGCGGGAGCACTTGTAGCCCGTGCACTGGGACCAGCCCACCCGCGTCCACCAAAGCCTAGGTCTGGACACCAAACCGAAGTCGGCTGCATCCACCAAGACGGCCCCCGCTTTGAGGCGCCCGTTGAAGTAGTTAATGTTTCCGTAGGCATTCATGAAGACATTCTCGACCAAGATGCCCACGCTGCGGCCTTGGAGACGGGGCAGGAGGTCGTCCAGCAGGTCGCACATAGTGCCGAACAACTGGCCCTGGTTACCTTCCCGACCGGGGCCTTCTGTGATCCTGCTGTAGTCCGGACAAGGCGCGCCCCCAGCTATCATGATCCTGAGCTTGCCGCTCGGATCGATCTGCATGACCGCCTCCGCCAAGGAGGCACCGGTCTCCGCTGTGATGTCGCCGCGGTTGGTGATGGTGCCCTTGACCTGGCTGAGCGTGACCGCGGCTGCCTGCTCGTCCACCTCCCAAATGAGCACGTGGGCTAGCTTGACATGCTCCTGCAAGGCCAGAATCGGCACACCTATGCCGTCAAAGAAGCTGAGCAAGATGACCACGGAGTCCGCGTGGCGGGAGCTCTTGGGCTGCTTGCGTGCGGCCGGCTGCTTCGGCTGAGCTGTAATCTGCATCCCCGGCTGAGCCTGAGCAGGTCCCCCCCTCCCCTCCGGGGCTGAGGAGGGGTCCCCGTGGAACTTCATTCCTTGTGGGCGCCGGACTTGTCGGCCCCCTGTCCCTCCTTGTTCGCCCATCCTTGGCGATACTGGCGAGGCTGCCACTGCTTTCCCCAATCATCTTGGTGCCACTGGCGCTGCTTGCCAGAGTCGGCAGCTGCCTCGCTTTGGCGGCCCTTGGTGCCTTTGCCGCCTTTGCCGCCCTTGCGCGGCTTCTCCGGCTCCCACGGTCGCTTCTTAGCCGGCTTGTCCGGCGCCTCGTGCAACACCTTGGCCATGGTGTCTTGCCAGAGGATGTTGTCGCCGATGACCTCGTCCGCTGCTGCTTTAAAGGCCACGCCGCGCCTCATGTTCTGTGCCAGCCGCCATGACGCGGTTTCATAGTACTACTGAGCCAACTTTTGTGGCACGCCGCGCGCTTTGCTGTCGAGGGTCTCGAAGAAGGCCTGCACGTCCTGCTCGTCCCCCATCTGCAAGAGGATGAAGAGGTACTTTATGCTCTGGAGCCCGTCGAGGATCGAGAGCATTGACCTGGCGTCCCAGGTATCCTCGGCCAACTCGGCCTGGAACTCGCTTTCAGGAGTGACTCGCAGCTTGGTTTCATGCTTCCTCTTCGTGAGGGGGTTGAGGTCCCCATTGGCGGAGAAGGTACGGCACTGTATCAGGGCACCAAGAGGTATGGGAGTATACAGCTTCTGGGCCTTGGCCACTATGTGCTCCGCCCCAAGCAGAAGAGCCTCGGAAAAAACCCTGTCGCGGCCCCCGATCTGCTGCTGGTTGTATCGGGTGACTAGCTTCTTCCACTCGCCCGGGGGCAGATCTGACGGCGGCTTCACTGGCGCTGAGGAAGCAGCAGGTGTCGAGGAAGCCGGCATCGGCAACGCCGCCGCTGCCGCCGCAGCAGATTCATGCTGCCTGTGTTCAATACACAATTTTCGAAGGTACAGGAGGGTGGCTTTCCCAATCGGAAACTCCTCAGTGGTGAGGCTATGTCTCTGAGGCACCTTGCCAGCCCGCAGCCAGTGGCTCGATGATCGCCTGCACGAAGGCTGCCGTGTTCTTGGAGATCAAGGCTATGGCTCCGATGCTGCGCAGACCTCGCTCCGTGAGGTATCGGGAGCAAAGGTCCGACACCTGCCTTGGCGATCAGCCCTGGCAAATCCATAGCCCGGCTAGTGACTGTCATGCCTGCCTATGCTGAGCTGACGACACCCGGGCTAGAGCCAACTAGCAAGCAAGCAGAGCTTTCTGGTGCTCTATGCCATGCCCCGTCCACGCTCATATCGACAAAAGGCTGAGCAGGTGCAAGCAACTTTTCCTGGGACCCGAGCGTCCAGAGTGATCCCTGTGTGCCCGACCGACCTTCGGGACGGACACGTCATGTGTGTGCTCGCGCGCCCACACTATACTCAGGCTGCAGCCATCTGCGCAGCCCTCCATAGTCAGCCTGCTCACGCGCAGGCGACTAACAAAAGGTGGCCCACGCACGGGCCAAACGGCCTAAGCCCCCCGCTCAGAGCTGCCCTCTCATTCCATGTGCGTCAGGTCTTCCTACAGCGCAAGCCAGACTACGGGCGGTGAGGCCCATTAAAGCTACAGCAACCCTGCCTGCAAAGGTCGTGGTGAAGCCGAAGTCGTTGAGGACGGAGAAGTCTCCTGGCAGGCAAAGCGTGCAAAGTTGAGAACAGAACAAGCAAAGGGGGGGAGACAGGGGACAAGTCACTCACACGGCAGTTCGCATGCCGACTTTTGACGTGAATGTCCACGGCAGCCCTCTCTCAGGCATGCCCAGGTCCAAAACTGATCGGCCCCCACTCAGGTCCGGTGCCTACCTCCTAATCCAAAATGGTGGCGGCCGCTGCGCCCCGGAAAGAAGAACCACTCGAGCCGGCTCACGAGCTGGAGGATCCAGAGCTGCTGCTGCTCGTCAGGCCGCGCCTCGTCTGGGAAGCATCGCCGGCATCGGCGCAGTTCAGGGCGCAAGCTGTCGGCCTGCACTCTGTAGTAGCTGCTCCAGCCATAGCCCCAGCCACATGTTGTGCGCCAACGGCACACTTCATTGTGGGGTGGAATGGCTTTGGCTATCTCCGCCCTGACCTGGTCCAGAGTCACTCCCGCTACCAGCTCCTGCGGCGGCGGCTGCGAGTCTTCGATGGGCAAAGGCTGGAGCGGCTCCGGCTGTGCGCGCCTCCGGCGACGGCGCCGTGCCGGCGGTGTCGAAGGCTCCTCGTCGCTCAAGACCATGACTGCAGAATCCCGCGCCAACGTCGGCGCTGGCAGCGCTCCTGTCGCCGCCGCCGCTCGGACGTTCTGAGGAAGTCTAAGGAGCGGAGCGAGCTGTGGACCTTGAACACCATCGCCCCTGCAACTGGATCTGAGCAAGCGGCACGTTGAGAGAGGCCAGGTATTGGGTCCCGCTGACCCGCAGCGTGTGACCGCCAAAGCGCGGTATCTGCCGCCCAGCTTCGTCCGCCCTTGTGGTCTCCACCCCAGCGGCCTGCAGCACCCGCTCGATGAGCTGCACCACCTGGTACTTCTTCAGCGGCTGGCCGTCTGAACCTGGAAAGAGGAAGTGCGTCTCGGAGCCATCCACGCCAGCCAACCGCAGCCTCTCGATGTGCCGCCTTGCTGCGTGAAAAGGACACAAGGGCTCTGACTTCGCACGGCACACGCAAATATACGTGCGGACGGTGAGGCACCCCTGAGACTCGGTCTTGGTCACAGGCAATAGCAAGTGCACAGCGGCGTTGGATATTTCTATCTCCCTCAGCATATACCAAGTGCATATAATGCACAAATCCACTGCCGCTGCCATGTCCCGTTCATCAAAAGCTCGCAGCGCTTCCTCGAGCCGCACCAGGTCGCGCAAGGCCTCGAAATCGAAAGAGTCTTTGAGCCTGGCAGCCCAGGCCACGCTTGATAGCCCGGACCGTGTCCCGAATGATGAAGCGGGTCTCCTCGACAATCGGCAAAGCCAGCGTCCTAAGCTGATGGGAGGTGGCCGCCGCAAAGTATGGAGCAAGAATGGTAGCCCCCAGCCCGCAGCGAAGTCCGGATTCACCGGGAAGGGGGGCTTTTCCCATGCCGCGCAGAGCTCCCGCCAGGCCCTGAGCTGCTTTCCACTGCGGGCCGCGTCGTCGCAGCCAAAACCGCCGCCTGCAGAGCCTCCAGGGCTGCCGCCCAGGACGCCTTCTGGCGCACTTCCGCGACCGGATGGTCAGAGCGGCCAGGCGGGAGAGCCAACGCCGTCTCCAACCTGCCCCGCACCACGGCCTCCAGTTTCCAGGATTCAACCCCACTGAGCAGAAGGGAGCCCGCATTCAGCATAATGTCCCTCAGCTCCCGAACTCCATGTTCGAACAGGACGGGGGCAAGGTCTTGCAGACCCGTGCTGCGCAGTCTCTCCCAAAGCTCTTGAGCCATGGCGCGCCCCTCAAGACAAGAACCTGTGCATGCCGTGCCACAGGTGCAAGCGATAGCAGGCAACAGTCAATCAAGGCGGCCAAACCTGGAACTCCGCGACCAGCTCGGTGATGCGAACCACCGCCAAAGCCACTGGTCCTAGGGGCCTAGACATCGCCTGCAATCTCGGCAAAGCCAAGGACAATGCTTCAAGATCCCCGGGGTTAGCTAGCCCCCATTCTTTAAAGAAAAAATGGCCATGCATCCCTGGCTGCAAGACTGCGGTAGCCACTGGCTCGTCCGACCCCACTTTGATGCCCGTCAGCAGGTCCAACAAAGGCCGAATGAGGGCCCGATCGCGGCCACATACAGCTGCATCAACTTCAATAAGCGCGTGGCGAGCTCCCTCGAAGAAGCGGTCGTACACCACCTCCGGGCCTGTCATCAGATAGTCAGACCAGGCACTTAAAGCTCCAAAGGCAAAGGCTGTGTCCAACGCAATCGCCCCGGCCATCGCTCAAGAAGGCCTAAAAGAATTTCCTTCGGGGAGCTCGGGCCCGCGCTATTTCAGCCGTGCCCTCGCTTTCACATGTCACTACGCACAAGTTTGTGCTGCACAACAAATCATAGATTTTTCATTTACACAGTCCATTAATATGAATAATGTGTTTTTGTGAGTTGCCAGCCTGGATTGCCATGCGGCTGCTCAAGGCCTCGGCCTCTTCCATTGAATGCGTTGTGAGGACAACTGTCCTTCGTGCAGGGCTTGGCGGGGAGGAGGTCTCTTGCAAGGCAGCGTGTGATGTGCGGTAAATTCCAGAGCAGATTGCAGACCTTGCATGCAAAGTACGAGTAGTGTTTAGTTAGGAGGCCGAGGTTGTCACGCGCCAGGGCACAGTTGACTATACACACTGCTATCGACAAGTTTGCTTTGATGATTATGGAGCTCAGGGGAATCCTGCTGTGCAACCAAGTCTCTGGTCAGGTGCTCGCTTGTTGATCACCTGAGTACACGGCTTTCTGCTGTTTGCCCAACTCATCCACGAGCAATCGACGGACCCTTGCTGTTCATCGACATTCGCGGGGCCTTCCACAGGTGGCGCTTCGCGCCGGCGTCCACGGCTGCCGTAGGCTCATCCATGAAAAGCATCTGACATTGAAACGGACAGGAGCGAATGAGCGATGCATACCATGCCATGCTGCTGTGAGGTGTTGCGTGTGGCGCATCGCAGCGCGCTAGCTTGACTGACGATCACCGCACCAGCAATGGCATACCCTCTAGAACTTTCTCAATGACTCTAGTGTCTCTTGCCTGGGAGTGACCAATCAAAGCGATTGCGACGCTCAGCTTCCTGAGTCAGTTTGATATGTAGGTCGACAAACAGCCTGCCCAAGCACAGAAGATCTGGCCCAGTCTCCGCTTCATTCCACCGCTATACCGGCTCACCGCTTTCTTGGCATCTTCAGGCAGAAGGCCCAACCGCCTGGGTCACAAGATTGCCCCGTTTTCTGGGTAGCTCTTCAGCTGCGGTAGCAGCTACAGCTCTTGAGCTTTGTCAGAATTCACCCTGGATTTCATCCTGCCCATCCCTGTCCACTCACTTCGTCGGCCAAACCCGTGCATATTGCAGCGAGCTGCTGCAACAGACGTGATACGGTATTCTGCAGCACGCTCTCTGGCACGCCCTTGATTCGGCCGTAGTACCTTGGACGCAGATGTCAAAATGGCAGCCTCGATGTGCTAAGAAGCAGTCCGCCAACCGCAGCTTCCAGTTCGGATCCACTTGTATTTTGCTTGTCAAGCACGGCTAGGGGCGAGTAGCTATCAGAGAAAGCAGTACAATCACACCACTTCGAAAATCTGAAGGAGAAACAGCAGTCTTTGACCACCACCGGAAATCTGGGCTGAATTGTATACATGCGCGTGCGGCTGTCTTAGCCTGAAAATCGACCCTAAACAACTCTTCAAACTGGAAACAAACAATTGCCACCCTTGGGGTCTGGCTCATGTCATTACAATATCATCATGGTTAGGTCCTTCAGCTCTTGCCCTCAATGGTCTCCGCCACGCTCTCCGGCACAGGCTCGTACTTCTCAAATTCCATGGCGTAGTTGGCCCTGCCCTTAGAAATGTTGCGCAGCTCAGCGATGTAGCTGAACATCTCAGCTAATGGCACGCTGGCATTCACAACGTGCAGGTTACCTCGGGTCGCCAGGTTCTGGATGATGCCACGGCGGCTGTTGAGATCGCCGATGACGTTTCCCATGTACTCTTCAGGGGTGATCACCTCAACCTTCATGATGGGCTCCATGACGATGGGCTTTGCCTGGCTGGCTCCCTCCTTGAAAATCGCGCGGGCCGCGATCTCGAAGGCAATGGCCGAGGAGTCCACTGGGTGGAAACCACCATCCTTCAGCCTAGCTTTGACGTCCACCACGGGGAAGCCCATGCGGATACCATTCAAAAGCTCGCCCTCTGTGCCCTTGACCACAGCAGGCACATACTCTTTGGGGACTGTACCGCCAATGACCTCGTTGGCAAACTCAAAGCCCTCACCCGGATTGGGCTCGAAAGACATGCACAGCTTGGCATACTGTCCAGAGCCTCCCGTCTGCTTCTTGTGTGTGTACCAAAGTTCAACTGGCTCTGTGATAGTCTCGCGGTAGGCCACCTGCGGCTTGCCGATGTTGGCTTCGACCTTGAACTCTCGCTTCAGACGGTCGATGATGATCTCCAGGTGCAGCTCCCCCATGCCCTCGATGACTGTCTGGTTGGACTCCTCATCCCGGC